CACCATCACCCCCATCACCCCACCACCCCATCAGCATCACCCCACCATTGTTACCATGACCACCATGACCTCCATCACCCCATCACCCTCTCAGCATCACGTCACCACTGTTACCATGACCACCATGACCTCCATCACCCCCATCATCTCCATCAATGCCACCCCATCTCCATGCTTATTGTCCCATCTTCATTATGGTCAGTGCTGCCACTGTCACCATCATTGCAAACCATTACCAGTGGCATCTTCACCCCCACCTTCAGGCTGCACCACCATCATGACCACACCGCCATCACCACTCATCCAATGCTCACGACATKCACGACAGCAGCACAAAGGATTTATGAACACCTCGCTTAAGCCTCACGGTCATCCTAAGGAGTGAAGGGTAACAACCCCATTTGGGCCAGGTGCAGTGGCTCATACAACTCAGGAGGCTGAGGCAGGAGAATTGCAAGTTCAAGACCAGCCTCGGCTACTTAGCAAGATCCTAGGCAACTTAGCAAGACCCTGTCTCAAAATAAGAAAATATAAAATAGGATGTGGCTCAGTGGTAAAGCACCCTGGGTTCAATCCCCAGAAGGAAGGAAGGGAGGAAGGAAAAACTGAGGCTCAAAGGGGGCCTAGGGCTTATCCAAGGTCCCATAACTGGCCAGAGGTAGGAGGAGCCTCCCTCGAAGACCTGACAGATGGTCTGATCTCTCCACTCAGCAGCCTTGGCCCAGAYCGTCAAGGTCAAAGGTCTCTCAGGGCAAAGGAAAGGCAACCTTGTCCCTCTTTTTCAAATAACATCTAAAACCGAAAGTAGCTCAAAAAGGCRTGTCTTCAACCTCAGCTGACCTCGCCTGCCGCCCTGGCTACCGCCTGCTTCTCTCTGCACAGGCCCCTCGCCCGGCCGGACGTCACGAAGACGGCCACAGAGAGCAGCCTCTGCTCCCTCCTGCCTCCCTCCCGTGGCAGGCATCAGCTGCTGGTTGGGCCTGGGCGACCCAGGCCTGAGGGAACCCCAAGCCTCTCTGTCCTCGGGTCACAGAGCGCCACCCCTTCTTCCTCAGCTCACTCTTCTCTGTCCCCATGCTGGCACAACCTCTGCTCTTCCTGGCCTCTCCTCTGCGTCTCCTCAGACTCCGCTCTGCTCACGCCGCAGTGACCACACCCTGAGGCTGGTCCCAGAACCTCTCCACGCACCCCTCACKCAAACTCCTCTGCCTCGGAGCTGCGGAACTCTGTGCCCGCTGTGCCCTGGCCACCCAACAGGGTGACTCAAAACCAGAGTGCCCAGACCTCCTGCAGGGCCGCCCACCCGACCCCAGCTGTGGACGACCCAGGGATGTAGCATCTCAGGGTCCTACAGCCACAGGGTGAGGGCTCATCCCGCCACCTCCCTCCCTCCCATCCCCACGTCCACCCACCATGATACTGCTGACGCTGCCCACGTGCCCCTGGACCAGCCCACTGCCGTCCACCACCTCGGCCAAGCCACCCTTGTGTATCGGCAAACTGCTGCGGGCACCTCCCGGCCAATCTGATCACACCACTGCCCGCGGGATCCTTCCACAGCTGCAGATGTCACCGCACAAAATTCTCCCACGAGGCTCAGCACTGTCCCCGTCCCATCCTCAGGGTCTTCCTTACAATTCTGTCCCTCCGTCTCTGCGGGGTGCAGAGGGCCTTCCCTGTCTCCACTGCAAGAGCTGTGCCCCCAGGACTCTGTACGCCCTTCCTCCTCCCAGCCATCTGCTCCCCTCCCGCCCCCCATCGACTCCGCCATCCTCAGACCCCGGCCGGGATGTGGCCTCTTCAGGGCAGCCTTCTCGGAGCCCCAGCCCCRTTCAGGTTCTATGTCCCTTTTTGTCGCAGCCTAGTCACCATCTACAGTCCCATGAGGCTGAGCAGGGGTTCCTGAGAGGGCCAGCCCCTGGAGGACAAGCCTCGGTCCTGCGGCTGTCCATCCACCCCACAGCCTGGCCTTCTGCGCCTCCCATGAGCATCTGCTGGGAAACAGGGTGGGGCTGGGAGCCCGCCTGTCCCCTAGGGCCCTCTGTGTCCTCACAGTCCTTGGGCACACTCGAGGCCCTTGGAGCACACAGCAAACCGCCTTTGAGGGTGTCAGGGGAGGACCCCGGATTCAGGGCTCCCCCAGGATGTCACAGTGGGCGATGGGGGAAGAGTAAGGGGGACCCCAGGGATCCTGGCCCCTAGCCCAGGGCTGTGCACTGTACTACAGGATCTCACCTACGTCTCCCCAACACCCTCAGGGGTTCAATCACGAGGCCCATGCTGCAGACCAGGCTGAGGACAGGCCTCGCTCCTACAGCGGGGGGGCAAAAAGTCCAAGCCTGTCCAGGGCCAAGGCCTGGCTCCTCCCACTGTCCCCCAGCAGGTGCAAGTGCCACCTGTTGGAAAGGGATCAGGACCTTGCTGGTCTGTGCCCTGAGGCGGCCCTCCCCTGTGGCTAGTGCAGCCATGGAGGGTGATGCCAAGGGTCACCTGGGAGAGAGGAGACGGCAGGGTCCAGCCAGTTCAGGACAGCCGGGCAATCGCACAGCGTGACAGTTCAAAGAACACGTCTAATCCAGTGCCACCTGCTGAGTCATTTCCCAAGGTGGGACCCCAGCAGAGGCAGCTTCTCAAGCAAAACAGAACACAACCAGGCTGCCAGGGGCACAGAGGAGGAGCCCGGCTCCCCACACAGGCCACGGAGGCCGGGCAGTACCATCTGTCCGTGAGTCTCCTCGCCCACCGTGGTTCCTGAGGGCAGAGGGTACTCCCGGTGACTGGGCTTGGCCACGTGGCTCACACCAGTCACAGAACATGGGCGGACACTGGGGTGTGAGCAAAGAGACGAGGTGGCAGGAGGGAGGCGAGTCTCTGCCAGACCCTCGTGCACACCACCGACGGCCACGGGAAGGGTGCTGCTCAAGACTCGGGGGCTGCTGTGGTTTGGAGACGGCCTGCCTATGTCCCCAAGGGTCTGTGTGTTGGAAGCTGGGATCTCAGGGTGGCCGTGTTGGGAAGTGGCAGGACCTCTAAGAGGTGGGGACTGCTGGAAGGTGACTAGGCCACTGGAGGCACATGCTCAGAAGGAATCGATGCTAGCCATTGCTCGACTCAACCAGGGGGACCCTCACCAGAGACTGAATCAAGAGGCCCACCCAATCTCAGATTTTCAGCCTCCCACACTGTGGGCTACACAAGCCTCTTTTCTTTAAGAGTACCTAACCCGGGGTATCTTGCTATGGCAATGGAAAACATTTGATACGCAGACTGTTACGCAGCACTATCACAGCATTATTTGCATCAATACTGATCGACACGCCCACTTCCTCGCTATGTAAACTGGGGCAAATGACCTCAACTCTCCGAGCCTCCATCCTCCATCATTATAACACCCATGTCACGGTTTCCAAAACTCTGGCCATCCTCACACTTCGGGATATCATTCTTCATGTGATACCTTTAAATCCGTTTATCTTCTAAGCATCTAAGCGCCAACTTCAATCTCAGCCTAGGCAATGATAATAACCAGGATGTGCCAGTGATTTTATTATACATTCCAAAATGGGTTCTGAAAGCTTTACTGTCTGTATTGCTTTGTAGACACTGAGCTGCGTTGGGGGACCACAGTGAGAAGGAGATGAAATGGCCCTGAGCTCAGTGACTGGTCTGCACTGGGCCCCAGGGTGCTGCTGCCCATGGTGATGGAGAACCCCCAGCCGCACTCGGGGGACAGGGCCTGCAACTCACTGATCATCGTGGTCCCGCCCACCAGCGCTGCTCTGGTGCCCTGGAAGAAGTCATCGGCGGCCGTCATCCCCTGGCAGGGCTTCTGCAGATAGGTGTTGACATCAATCCCTCCGGGAATGACCATCCGCCCGTTGGCCTCGATGGTCTTCACTCCACCGGGAACAATCAGGTTCTCTCCGATTTGCCTGGAGACAAACAACAGAGGGGACCTGGTTCTTAAAAGCAACTGGGCAGTCAGCTCAGCAGCTTCAGGCCCACTAAGTAAACACGCCTGAGCAGGTCACCCAGGGCCACAGGTGGGTGGAGGGCACTCAGGCAGGGCCTGCCCTCCTGAGGCTCACACTCAACGTAAGCACCTTGTTGGAATCCGGCAGGGCAGAGGGCCGGGGGCACAGGGAGCTGCTTCACCTGGCTGGTTCTCCAGGAAGGCTTCTCAGGGGGACGGAGGACTGAGTCCAACCAGGCAGAGCAGCCTCTCCATCACGGGATGCTGGGYTGTCTGAACAGCCAGTCTCTCAGGGGAGTGGTCGGCTTTTGGCAATGGGGGCACAGAGTGGAGCATCACCTAGCAAGGCTGGGAAAAGTCCCCTTGGCTCATGAGCTTTCAGGGACACTGACGGGGGCCAAGCCGCATCCCCCGAATCCACAGGAAGTCCCAACCCCAGCAACTCAGAGAGTGACTGACTGTACTTGGAGACAGGACCCTTGCAGAAGTGATTAAGTAAAATGAGGTCATTGGAGTGAGCCCTAATCCAGTCCATCTGGTGTCCCTAGGAGATYTGGACACAGACACACACAGCGGACTGCCTAAGGACGCAGGGAGACACGCCATTTGCAGGCCAAGGAGAGCCCTCAGGAGGAGCCAGCCCTGCCAACACCTGGACTCGCAGCCTCTCGATTATTTGTGAGAAATAGATTCCTGTTGTTGAAGTCGCCCGTCCGGGGCCTTTCACAGTAGCCGGAGTGGCCAAGCACACGGCCCCTGGCTTCTCATTTCAGCAGAACTGGAGGAGCAAGGCCTCAGGAAAGCTACTCAAGCCCCCTGGGCACGTAAGACAAAACTGAGGTCACCTTAACACCACCGCGAGGGGCTCTGGCGGGGGAGGCCAGTGTTTCCAGAAGGCTGAGGTCACTTCTCTTCCCTGCTGAGCCCTGAGACTTCCTGCAGGAGGAAGGTCCCAGACAATCAGGGGCCTGGCCCCGTGAGCCCCATGAGCCCCGTGAGCCCCATGAGCCCCGCGAGCCCCGCGGAGACTTACATGACACCCAGTGATGCCTATTCTATTTGTTGGAACCAGAGAAAGGAGATGCCAGGGCACCAGCAGATTCTGAGCCAGAACCAGGCCAGGGACCCCACAGCTTCCAAAGCTACCACCTGGCTGCGATCTGAGATCTGAATTTTTATTTGCAAAAATAAAATCCAGGTATTCTGAACTCTTGGGGTAAGGCCATCACATAAAAACACCAGTAATCAGGCTTAAGAAAATACTGCTKCAGTGACCAAAGGATCAAGCCCAGAACAGAATTCACCTCCTGGGCAGAAGCAGCAGCCCTGGCCCTACAGGAGCCTGGGCAAGGCTGGTCCAGGCCCGCGGGGCAGAGAGAGGGCTCCAGCCATGGCTCCTCGCAGAGCTGGGCACATCCTGGTCTCCCTGAGCTGGAAAGAGCCCAGCAAAGCACAAAGCCAGGCTCAAGGGGAGCACCCAGGAAACTGTCCCACCAGCTCCACCGCAGCTGCCGCCGCCCCCACCACCACCCCTCCCCTGCACAGCTGGCTTGAGGTCATGGAAACTCTGGGTCCTTCTGCCACCGTCTCCAAACACGTGGGATGGTGCCAGGAGCCGAAGGGAAGGGCCTCTGGAGGACACTGACCCTAAAAAGAGCAGTTGCCCTTCCTGGAGGCCTGCTGGGGAGCAGAGACTCCTCCAAGCACTCAACATGGTGTCACCTGGGCTCCCAGCTAACTTCTAAAGAAGACAGGTAGTGTACCCAATGCTAACCCTGCAAAGGTGCAGGGCCACTCAGTGAGTCGGCAGGGACAGCAGACCTGAGGCTCAGTCCTACACGCCACTGCCCCAGAGACAGCTCGGTGTGAATGGCATCTGTGACTYGGTCACCATGCCAAGGTCCCAGTGAGGAGCCCTGTCGTACCTCCACCAACCTCTCCAGTCTCCCACCAACAGCCCCACAAGGGAGGAGGTCCACTGGGCCAAAGGGGGCGCAGATCTGAGACAGGCACCTAGACTGGTCCAAGGTCACACAGCAAGTCCAGGTGGGCCTGGGAGGCCCCAAGTCTAAGAACAGGACCTGCCCCCAGGCTGACTGCCTCCAGGACACAGGAGCAGCACATCCCCTTCAGACGGGGACTGAACTGGCGGGGACCCGGTGAGTCAGGAGGAAGACGCAGTCGATGGCGCACACCAGCAACAAGCCCAGAAGAGGAGGACAGACAAGCTCAGCTCGCCTCAGACGTGCCACCGCTGTGGCAGGAGGAAACCCTGCGTGACCAGCCTCTGAATCACCAAGCTCGGTGAACCAGGCAGAATCCTCCATGAATCACAGCTCACTGYACCCTAATAGCTGAATGGCTCTTGGAAAACTCGGCCAAGGGTCCCAAACAGAAGGACTCTTAGTGTTTACTAAAGTAAACAAAGCTGAGCCTCTGCCTGCCTGGGGTCAGTACAGGCCACTCCAGCCCCACTCTTCTCAGCCAGTAGGCTGCATGCTAGAAAGGACCCCCTAAGTCCTGCAAGGCACTCAGTCGAGGTCACCTGCTCTGCTTCCCAGAGCAGGAAGAGGAATACCAAAGCTCAGAGAGGCCTTTAGCACTGGGGTGCAAGCAAAATAGGGTTCTGAGTCAGAGGACTGGACAGATACTGAATTTACAGAACTGCCTGTTTCCCGAACAGCCTGGCCAGCCAAAGTCCTAAGGCTCCAGGTGCTCCTGCATACAGCAAGCACTCAAGAAACGCAGCTCAGCCCATGACCACTGGGCTCCACGGGTCTCCGAAAGGATGGAAGCACAAGTGACCAGCTCCAACCTCAAGCAGCAGGTGGCCGTGGGAATGGCCACCCCATCAGCAGCTGCCTGGTGACTTTGCCCTCAGTCCTTGGAGCCCGGGAGGCCAAGGGGCCCCAGCTTGGGCTGCTTCCTCTGATCTCAGCAACAGTGCAGCAGAAGACCTCCTGCTCTGGACTTACCCGACCACACTGCTGCTCTGGGGCTCCAGTCAACCCTCACCTTGACCTGGGGGTCCAGATTCGCTTCGCTTTTCCTCRTCAGCACTCTGGGGCACCTACCGTGGACCAGGCCATGCTCCAGAGTGGGGAGGCCTCGTTGCCCTGGCCGAGGGACAGACACCACGTGAGGGAGGCTGTGACAGATGGCAGCTCACGGCCACAGGGAAGGGGATATGCAGCCAGGCCATCCCCGGGCAGGGAAGGTGTCCGGAGGAGACGTCACGTGGAGCTGGCAATGCAGGGACAGACGTTCCACGGAGGGGCTGGGGTACACAGCTCCCAAGTGGGAGTGGGCTGGCCATGCACACCACAAGAGTGAGCTAGGAGAGTGGGGAGGGAAGATGGCAGGGAGGAGGCTGCTGTCCAGGACTAGAGCAGGGGACGGGGAGGCAGGGGCTCTGAACCTTCAGGGGGCACGATGCACCCACTAACCCTGGCTTCCTTTACCCGCCCCCCCCCCAACCCCCGTCATCACAGCATGTGCTCCGCCCCCCGCCCAGGCTGGCTTGTTACCCAGGCTGCATCCTGTCTGACCTCCCCATGCCCCCAGCCCCCTGCGCTCTCCTTCCTGCACCAACAGCCCAAGCCGGTCGCAGACAGTCTCCTCCTCTGCTCTTCTAGATGCCCAGGGAAGAGGCCGTGAGTCCAGGCCAAAGGGACAGCCACGACCCCATCACCAGCCAGTAAAATGCCGGAGGCCACAGAGAAACCACTGCCTGGTGTTATGGGTGGAACTGTCCCCAAACCACACCAAAGCCCCAACCCCCGTGTGACTGTCTGGAGATGAGGCTTCAAGGAGATAAAATTAAGCCTAAATGGGTCATCAAGGTGCATCCTGAACCCAACAGAACCAGTATCATTATAAGGAGGGAGACGCCTGGGCAGCACAGAGAAAGGCCATCTGAGGACAGTGAGAAGGAGGCCCCAGGCCAGCAGGGAGGGAGGCCCAGGAGGGACCATCCCTGCGGGCACTGACCAGGGCTTCCAGGCTCCACACTGTGAGCTCCTGTTGTTTAAGTCACCGGCCTGCATCACTGAGTTACAGTGTCCCAGGGGGCTCCTACCCTGGGGTCAGCGATGGCAGGCTGAAAGGGAGCCCACAGGGAGACATAGGGAAACGGCAGGGCCAGGACTCTTCTGAGAGCCAGCCAGGGTCCCTCTGGAGGCCCACTTTTCCTCTGATCCCCTCAACCAACCCAGGAACAGCAGGCAGGTGGAAGGCAGGGCTGTGCTCAGCCAGGGGCTCTCGGGGGGACACAGGCCCTGTCCCCAGCCCACCCTGCAACTGGGCTCAGTGCTTAGCCCCCCTGGTCCCTCATGCCCCTAATATAAAACACTACACCTGGGCTGGGGTGGGGCTCAGCAGAAGAGCGMTCGCCTAGCATGTGTGAGGCCCTGGGTTGATCCTCAGCACCACATATAAATAAATAAACAAAATAAAGGTATTGTGTCCAACTACAACAACAACAAAAAAATCTTTAAAAATATCCCCAAAACACTACATCTGCATTTCACAGCCTGAGTGTGAGCATTAAAGGCAACAGGCACCCTGAGGAGTATCAGCAAGCCTGGGACAACAGAGGGTCCCCCAGCACACCCCGGCCCCTGCTCTAGCTCACCCCGGCCCCTGCTCTAGCTCACCCCGGCCCCTGCTCCACCCAGTCTGACGTCCCCAGTCTGGAGCTCTGAAATACAGGAGCACAGCACGGCCAATCTGGCAGAACACCAGCCAGGCCAGGCCACCTGGAGGAGCAGATTCTTAGGTGTGTCCTGCTCAACCCACTTTATGAGCCCGTCTTCCAAGTAGACATCGGCATAAAAGGACTGGTCCTCGTTGACGATCCGTCCACCTTTGATGAGGAGTCGGTCACTCTGTAAAACAAAGCAGAGTTTTAAGCGTCACTGGGGGAAAGTCAAGGGAATGGTTTTCTTTCAACTTTTAACAATAAAACTCTCAAATATCTTCAAAGGTAAAGAAAGGGCACTGAACACCCCCAGACCCCCCCACTTCAACCCTCCTCCACCAATGCTCCGCCTTCTCACCCCACCTCCTTCCCTCCTCAAATGCTCTGCATTTTCCCCAGAAGTATTTCAAGACAAAACCCAAACATGGGATCATTCCTCCTTTAGATACTTCAGTACTTTCTCCAACCAGGAGGGGCCTCCTAAGGCGCCCTCACCACAGCCCACTACTCCAGCTGACCCCATCCACCTCCTCCTTCATCTCGCCCGGACACGCCACATTCGGTTTTACTGGATTGTCTCAGAAATGTCTGTGTCACTGGGACGCACACCAAGTCCCCACGGTGCACCTGCCCTGTGGGTCTCTGCTGTCTCCTCCCTTCTAAACGTCATTCACTAGTTGAAGACACAGCGTCATTTGTAGGACAGGAACTTCTCAAGGCATTTCTAATGACGGTGATCAACTCATCAACTCGGAGACACTGCGCAGACGATGAAAAGACTGTGCAACGAACCCCGCCCCTCCTGCACATGCACCAGGTCCCTCGGTCTGTTCCACAGCTGTGACTCTAGGACACACATCCACACACTCAACCAGGCGTGATCACTCCTGGCCCAGGCCCTGGGAGCCAYGGGAAACCAGGCAGAGTGGGGATCTGCTCCCTGGGCCTGGCCGATGAGAGTCAAGGGATGGAAGGTGGCCCAGGAGGGGAAGGGCAGGAACAGAGTGAGGGGCCGTCACKCTTACCTGGGGGTGCAGGTAGGGCAAGCTAAAACCTACTAAATAAGACGGGCTGAACCAAACAAAGGGCTGAAAAGGGAGGTGGCCAGGAATGTCGAGTGACCTGCAAGGCCAGAGGCAGCGAGTCCAAGAACAGAAAAGAACAGAGCTCCATCCTTTGGGATTTTGCCATAAGCACATCCCAAGTTAGGGCATGGTCTTCATCACCACAATTTTTAAAACTGCCAAACACCATATCGCATGGCTACGTGATAAGTTAGTTATTGCCCCACTGTTTGGCCCTTAAGTTATTTTCTGTTTTCCACAGCGAGGCAGTCAGCTGCACCAAACCTCCTTGTGCACAACTTTTCCGTGGTTAGGATGCTGTGTCAGGCCAGATTCTCAGAAGCTTCACAACTGAGTCCAACAGCACGAACCTTATTTATGGTCCCTGATAAATGTGACCGAACTGCTTCCCCAAGAGTACTGCCCAATTTGCCAGGTATGGGAACACCAAGTGCCTTTGCTTATCATTAATATTTGTTGATTTCCATTTTTTTGGAGCTTAAATTTTTTCCAGTGTGGTTATTTTCTATTTTCATTATCTTCAAGTTGCTCTCAAGGCCCCCATCCCTTGTGTGGGGGGAGAGCCAGTAAATGTTAAGATTTCAGGGCAACCACTTCTGCCGGGAATGAGAGGTTCCCCCCACCACATGAAGCAGAGCTTGCCACAAAACATGATAAAGGGACAACCGGGCTCAATTCCACCAGGATCCCTCAGGAAGCTGAGAAAATGCACTACGGAGGGTCCCAGAGGCCACGGTCCAGTGGTCCCAATGTTCCCCTGGCATCTACCGTGAGAGGCAGGCAGAGATGCTCTGCAAGCCCAGAAGAGGTCAAGCCAGACTAAGCAACAGGGAAACTTTCTGAGAAGAAACAGTCTGCAGCCAGAACTCCCGGGTGGGTTCTGGTCTCAGTGTTATATTTTCCTCAGTGTGAAAGCCAAGGTCAGCGAGACCCCAGTGAGTCTGCCCTCCCACTATCTATCCCGGCATGGCTCTGCTCAGGGTCACTCACCTGAGAGCCCTCCCCTCACCTGCCCAGTCTGAAACCCCACACATGCTGCCCTCCAGCTGCCCTGCCCCTCACCCCAATGTCTGCACAGCACTCACCACAGTGATCCTGACATACTACATAGGTACCTGTCTGGCTACCATGTGGCTCTTTCCACTGGATTCCAAGCTGTCATGTGTCACCAGGGGATGTGCCAGGCACAACCACACAAGGACCAAGCATGGGTGAACGGAGGTGGTTGGCACCACCCAGAGTTCTCTTCTCCCTATAGACGCCCTCACTAGACTTCTCTCCACGAGGGAAGGGACTCTTGCTTCTTCACCGCTCCACCTTCAAGACCTTGGACCCGCTTGGCCAGATGGGTGGGTGGAGGGGTGGATGGATGGACAGATGATGGATGAATGGACAGATGGTGGACAAATGGACAGATGGATGGATGGAAATACTGAAGGATGGATAGATGGATAGATTACAGGCAGGATGGGTGGATGGGTAGATGGCAGGCAGGATGGCAGGATGGATGGACGGATACCTAAACTGGTTCTTGGAACATGAATGGGTAGAGATGAAGAGAAAAGGCCTCAGAGCCACAAGTCAGGGAAGAGAGCGTGAAATGGCGTGTCCTGCTTCCTGGAGAAAGGGGATTCCAGAGCAGTCACTCCACGCCCAACAACCTGCCCTGAATCCCTAACATGGAGCCAGCCATGATCTGTGCATCAGCAAGGAAGAGACCCACCAAGCACACCTTCTCTGTGGCCGCCTGCCCTGAACGGACCGAGTGGGGCACTGATCTGACCTCGATAGAAATGCGGTTCCAGACAGGTGTGGCCTCCAATGTCACGCTCCTGATGCAGTTTTCCTAACTCCCTGCCCGTGTGTAGGCCACCGAGCCACACTGCGTCACATTTCTAGACATTTTCATGCTCTGGAATTGATGACACCCCACAAGCAGACGGAATCTCACTACACTCCAAGGTCAGACCCAGGGGCCTGCCGTTCTAAGGAATGTGTCAAATCTCAGGCTGCACACCAAACAGAGGGAATGTCACTACACACAAATACAAGACATTAGAGGTACATGATTTAGATGTAAAGATTTTTATTTTAAACATAAAATTCACACATTTGAAAATAAAAAAGGGCTCATGCCCTCTGACCCGGAATCTAGTGCTGTCCATTTGTCCCCAGGAAAATAGCCCTAAACAAGTCCAGGATTTATACACAAAGGTCAGACCAGACTCAGTTACAATGGTGTAACCACATCACTACCCCTCAGCTGGTCAATACCTCATAGAAGTTTCAAGGACAAAGACAATAAGATGTCACGTGAAAAAGCAAACTGCAAAACTCTCCAATGGCACAACTCARGGGGAGTGGGTCTTTCTGGCAGGAACGGACACCTCCCCAGCAGGCCCTGGGGCCCCCACTGCGGTGTCCCTGGCAGGACAACGTACACACGTCCCAACACTCTGCATGAGCTGGGCACTGCATGAGGGGTCTGGAGACCCCTTGACTTCACCTTACATCTCCATCAACAGGCCAGGGACCCTCCTTGGAATGTCACAGATCTTTGCTGAGCAGCTGGACGAGGTGGCAGACAGGAGGCCAGGGAAGAGAGAGGAGGAGATGGGACACTTGAAAAGAGAGGGAGTGAGAAGGAGGGTGAAATAGGGTAATGAAGAGGTTAGAAAGGAAGGAGAGGATGGGGGGAAGGCAGGCAGACAGACCATACATCTCTCCTGAAATCCTGACCCACTGCCTGGGCATGGACACATGCCAGGTGCAAAGCCTGCATGGCACAGGTGGTGCTGGAAGGACACCTTGCAAGGGTCACCTAAGCCCTGGTGCTGGGCAGCAGTGGAGTCTCCTGCCAGTGTCTTGTGAGCTGGAGGATGGCCCAGCAAGGCGGAGGCTCATCTCCAGACCTGCCCTATCTCCCAGCAGCCCAATGGGGGAAGAGCAGCTGTTGGCAGGGTCGTTGGTCACTTCACTACATGAACTGTTCTATCCAGCTCCGCTTAGGGACATCAGCCTTCAGGCCTCAGGCCTTCCTAACCAATCAATCAACAGCAAAACACACCACAGTCGGCCCCTGCTGGGGGCAGGGAGGGTCTGGATCACAGGGAAGCATCTGCATCGCTGTCCAGGCCAGCAAAGCTCTCAAGTGCCCTGGGCTCTGCTCCCCCTCCCACATGGTGGGAATGGAACCTGTCCCCTGCACACAGGCCCAAAAGGCAGCCCTCAGGAGATTCACAAAATCCATTAAGGTCTAGGGGTCCTCAGAAGAAAATAAGACATGCTGTTCTCCAAACCAACACTTATCCACAAATCACTGGTTTAGCAACTTTGGCTATCTGGAAATAGCAGAGAACCAAGGCTGTCATTACAGATTCGGAGGAAGACAGTGACCGTGTCATCAAGGAGGGGACATTGACCTGAGTTCTGAAATATGGGCAGAAATTCATTAAGCTGGAAAAACAGAGAAAGGGAGAATACTCCCGCAAAATAATAAATTATATATATACAGTGTCCCCAGAGTCCAGGTGAGGTGCCCTGGGTGAGGAAGAGGTGGGTCGTGTGCTGTCCGTGGTGCTGAAACGCACTGGCCACAGCACAGGGAGGGAGGCTGATGGTCTCTCACGCTCACCCAGTCTTGGAGCTCCTCACTGCTCCCCTGTCAGCTGGGAAGTCTGAACTCTTTACGTCTCCACCAAACCCGGGTAATAACACTTAGACATTTCACAGTGGAGGTGCCAGGTCCCAATGTCACCTTTCCAATCCCTAATGCTCCTCTCCCACCCCAGGAAGCAAGGGGAGGGCACGCCCATGTCCTCTCCCTACAATGCCCCCTAATGCTGACATGGAGCCTAGGACCAATGCACAGGTGTCCACACCAGGTCTCAGAGGTCCTCCATTGGGGGACGCTGGCCCAGCCATCCTTGGGAAGGGGGGAAGCGTGAGTATCTGCTAGTCAGATTCTGCCTCACACCACTGCCGCCTCCCGGGTCGCTCTCCTGGAGAGAGTGGCAAACACCACAGGCCGGCAGGAATCAGTTGGTTGGTCCCCTTGGACTGCCACCTTTGCTGCAAGCTCAGACCCGTTTCCATGACAACA